AGTGTTCAGTGTTCCCTTAAGAAATCGGAGGAAACAGGACATGTGGAGTACAAAAGAAGAAGTGGCAGACCTAAAAACTATCTACAGCAGATCAACAGTATATGAAAGTCATGTCATTAAGAAATAGGAAAAGATCAGTCAGTCAGATGACCCTCTATGAACAAGCAGTTGGCAACAGTGGGAAGCAAAATCCCAATTTGAATGTTTTGCTTCAAAACGTAGTCAAGAGAGAGGTCATCTGTGAAACAAGCTGATTTTGGGCTGCTGTGCATCCTGTGGTTTTTGGGATCTTACCAAAATTTATGAAAATATGGTTGCATCAGATTTTGATGCACCATGCATTATATACTTGCCAGTGGCGTCATCATCCAGGACGACAATGATCCTAAACACATAGTCAGTATAGTGAAGCATACTTTGGTAGAAAAAGCCCCACCTGCCATGAATTGGCCTAGCCACAACCCAGACCTCAACATTACTGAAGCAGTGTGCGCACAGGTGTTTTTACCTTACATTCTGTTTACAATGGGAACAGAATTCTGTTCTATAAATCACTGCACAGATCTGCCATTTTCCAAGCAAAACATAAAGAAATGAGAGATGTCTCAAGATTTCTGCCCAGTACTGTAATTTGTAGCTCTTCATGGAGAAATGACATTTTTGTTTCATAGCAACAAAGTAAGGATGGAACGATTATGTTGTTTTAAATTTATTTTACTACATTTAATAAGGATAAAGATTACAAAGGGAAAAAAATTGCATGAAATAATGATCCAGTAAATACAACAGAGGATCATATATGTCTCCACTGTATATTTCGTAATTATACTATCTTGCATGACGTTAACTTTTTTAAAGTCAAAATTAAGACGTCATTCGAAAAATTCACACCTCCTAATCAAAAACCAATATTGCCTTAACATAGGATTTTTGTTTTAGTATTCTGGGACAGGGTGAGTTTATCAAGGTGCTTATTCATCTAGGAGATTTAAAATGAGCAAATGTTGCATTTGTAAATTGTGAGAATAATTCTTTGAAATTAGGAGACAAAAGACTCGTAATTACATAAAAATAATTACAAGATCCTTACATATAACAATAATCTCAAATATATTTGAAAGTTCTGTGCCTTGTAAAGGTAATAAATAGTTTGAGCTTTACAACCCTATTGAAAAAAAACTATGGGACAAATAACACAAGGACCTTATAATTAAATACAAAATTGTTAACTCCTAATTATGCAGTGACTCTAGCATTACAGATGTAAGCAGTTCTAAGAGCCTTATCTTGCAAATACGAAACAAGTACTTGTTAATTAGATTAATTAGAATAAGATTCGTTATGATTTATGGAAGTAAAATAAGGATCTAATTTTTTGTAAGTTTTCATTTTGTGCTTTTTTCATTTTGTGATAATCATTGTTTCTCATGTTGTTTGGAAAATAAGTCTTCTTACTTCCTCATAGTTCACTCACCCTCTCACTGAGGGTCTCCAGCTCTTCCTCTTCCTTGTAGCGCTTCATCCCCTGTCCAACTTCACCACAGGGGCTGTTGGTTAGGTGCATGGGGTAGTCTAGGCCGCTGAGCTGGGCGTGATGATGCCATCGCAGGTCATCACTCTCATGGGTGATATAGCGCTCGTTTATCCGAGACTCAAGGTTTCTTAGATCCAGCCACATCTGGTAGTCCTGGCGGAGAAAATGAACACACTCATAGCCTAAATAATTTAATAACACCATTATCTTGACTTTTGTCTTTTACAAAAAGCACAAATAGCAAATATTTTTGAAATCAGATAATGGGTGGCTCGTCGTATTTTCTCATTGTCTGCTTTTGTCTGAAAACTTTGTGGTGAAAGTCTGAAAACCACAAACTTTGGTTGTGGTGACAAAGACATAATATATAGATAATTGTGTTCCATTTAATCTGATTAGTGTCATTCAAAATACTATCATTTATATGTGTACAAAGCAAGTGTACTTTCAGTTGGGACAGTGGTTAGAACTTTTGCCTTGCAGCGAGGTTTTGGGTTCAAATCCACCATCTAACCAGGGACTTCCTTTATAGAGCTTCCATGTTCTCCTAATGGTTGCCCAGGTTTGCTCCAGGTACTTCAGTTTCCTCAAACAGGCCACAGGCAGTTAGTAAGGTCAGGTTAACTGTTTGTTCCAAAATGCCTGTATTTGGATTTGCATGTGAAAAGTTGTCTGTTTCTCTGTGTTAGCCCTGCAACAGCCTGGCGACCTGTTCAGGGTCCTGTGATCCTGTGATAGTTGGAAGAGAATGAATGGATGGATATATTGTTATCTAGTGACCTCCTAAATCCCCAACTGAATTCCTTACAGAGTATTCAAATCGCTTTGCATGCCACCAGATATGTTAATACTGCAAAATTGTTTTATTAGGTTTTATTAGGTTTATTAGGAGATTATATCTCTCCAGCGTGTTCCCCCAGACAAGCTGGAGTAGGTGGCCAGGGAGAGGGAGATCTGGGCTTCTCTGCTTAGGCTGCTGCCCCCGCGACTTGACCTCAGATAAGTGGAAGAAGATGGATAGATGGATTCTTATGCACTTCGATGAAGTGCATATGAATATCATTAGATGTCTTTGAATTTAGTACTACTTGACTTATCTGCGGTCTTTGACACCACTAATCATACCATTTTCACTGACAGATTGTGGAATTAGTTTGGTATATCCGGCACTCCTTTAAAATAGTTTTTATCATACTTCTCCAATCTTCTCCAATCATCATACTTCTCCAATCTTCAGATCAGGATGTCCTAACTGCTCCACACTCTAAACCAGAGGTGACCACACTTCTGAGGTTGTAGCACCTAAACTTTCGAACAGTTTAGGTGCTACAACTTCACGCCTAAACTGGTCCATAACTACTTGAACAGATTTTCTGGCTCAGTGGGGGGGGAGCAAAACTGGCTGTAAACACAAAATTGTTTTTTTTTACCTACACTATATTTTCTGATTATCATCAACACAAGATATAAATCTAACAGATAGCAAATAGAATGCAACATTAGCATTATTGTGGAATTGTGCCTCTGGTTTTTATCCCATACCAAAGTGAAATGCATTGTGATTCAACAACTAGATGTTTAATTCTTATTCACTACATATCATTCAAAGAATGTGAGATTACATGTTCTCAACTCATTCAGTTAATTCAGTTTGGAACTTCATGTGTGTCAGAAGTCTAGTCGGGTTGCTATACCAGAATGAAATCCTTTTCAGTTCAGCCTGCTAGCAGTGTTACACAATACAGCATTTCCTGATTACTGCAGAAGCTGTAACCTTAATGTGGCCCCACTTACTTTGCTAAAGTTTATTTAAACAAGATGGATTAATGTTGCTAATGTTAAATAAACAAAAAGAAAAAAATTCCCAAAACTCCAAAATGTTTTAAATGCAACACATATGGGGTTAATGAAAGCTCTAAATGTTAACTGAAACAGTAATCATCTAAAGTGAACCCTTTATATGATTTGGATGATGCTATATTAATCTGAAATGTATTATTGACTGATTCTTGATTGTTATGTTACAGATTTGTATTGAACTTGAAAAATGCTCCAAATTGATTTTAATGGAGTTATTCAAATGACTGATTTCCTACCTGCAACCAGGGATGGCTTAGTGTCTTGTCAACACTGTATCTCTTTCTCATCTTCACTTGCAGCAAGTTGTTGATCAGGTCAATCGCTGCATGGAGGAATACAAGAATGTAAGAAAGAAAGAACATAGGGAACACAGGGGGAGAATGGAAGTGCAGAGTATTAGTAGGAGGAGAATTTGGGGTTGAGGCCCACCCATGGTCAGGGGCCAGTCAGGGCTAATGAGCAAAGCTAACATGATGTTAACCTCTCTTTAGGGGTCAGTGGTCTGAACAGCTCTGGGACCCCAAGGCCCCTCAGGTCTACAGAGGCCTCCATCACTTGGTATTATGCACATGAATGGACTACCGTATGAACCCACCCCCCCTACAAACCTAAGATCCTCATTCCACAAACTGCTGGACTCTCCTAGTTCTTCAAGTTTCTTTACCACATACATTCACCTCTCCTTAACTCCTCAGCAGCACTGGCTCTCTCCTGTTTCCCAGACCTGCCTCATGACCTCATAATTTGGATAATCCAAACCAAAGGCCAAAGAATGACAATGTTTACAGTCATTCTAAACAGTTATTGAACTGCAGTGTTTAGTCTCACAAGAAATCTGATTTAAAGACATACACACAACTGTGAATAAATAATGAGAAATAGTTTATTGTTATTACTTGACCAGATCAACATCCCAGGGGTATAAAAGTAAAATTTTGTTGATGGACGCCTTTTATACCCTATTCATACCCCATTTTGAAATGTAGTTGTTTCCTTACTTTTAAGCCAAATCCACCTAAAGTATAGATTTCAGAAAATTCTGTCATGTAGATATAGAATATTTGATTCCTGTGTTGACAAGGGGTTCAGAGAAGAGTGGAGAGGGAAGTGGGGAAGAGAAGGGCATGGATGTGTGAATTTCTTGGTGACATTTGGAAAAACATCTATAAAGTTCTCAGTCATCCAGGTTATGGTTATAGGAGGTTGGAAAGAAAGCAACTGGACTTTTTTCCACAAAACTTAAAGAAGTCAGAAGGGCATTATTAACTGAAAAAACACCCCCAAAACAAACAAAGCAAAACAAAATCAAATCATATTAAAGAGATCAAAAGTTTTGAAACTAAGATGAACCAGAATTATATAAAGAGAAAGGTATGGAGAAGAAAAGGAACTACTCATGCCGTCAAGCATACCAGATCATCTGTCAAACATGGTGGAGCCAATGCTATGTCCTGGTCAT